CTTAATAGGCTACCCTCCTGGGGTCCTCGCCCTCACCTGCAAGGCTCAAGTGTGCAATGGGGCAAGATGCCACCTGAGGGGCTGGGGGTGTGGCTCAGTGGTAAAGCACTTGCCAAGCATTTAAGAAGCCCTGGGTTCCATCCCAGCCCTGGGGGGGGGGGGGAAGTCAGCTGCAGGGCCTGATCAGACTAAGAGTCACGATGGGGGGAGGGGGAGAGACACAGAGAGGTAACAAGAAAACCCAGAGATGAATAAAGCCAGGGGAGGGGTATCCCAGCCCTCACCCAGAGAAGGAACTTTGATGTAGCACCGTCTTGCCCTTCCTCCTCCCAGAGCCTGTGCTTCCAGTTTTGGAGCCCTAGGACCCTCTGTTGCTTCCAGTAGACACAAGAGGGAGGCTTGAGGGGAGACTGAGGCACCACAGTGAGTGACCAAGAACCTTCTGGTGCCCTACTCAGCAGCCCCAGGCACAGGGAGAGAAGAGGCCCACACCAAGTCTTCCCCTTCCTCAATCCAGCAGACAACAGGCCCAGCAGCAGCCCCCAACCCCACAACCACCCACACGGTTGCTCTGCACCCTGAAAAGGGGGCATGGAGTCTCCTCATCCAGATAGGAGGAAGGAGGGCTTCCACCCCAGAGAGAACCCAAAGAACTTCTCTCCACCAGGGTCCTCCCTCTCACTGTCGGTTTAAGGAAAATACCAGGGCAGACGGCTCTGCCCCCTCCCCCCCCTCTCTCTCACACACACACACACACACGCAAACACACACACACGCAAACACACACATATACCTTGCACACAAGCCCAGACACCAGCAGACATACACCTGGTTCCTCCTGTCACCCTTACATTTTCCTGTTACAGTTACCTGCACACATGCTCGCTTGGGTCCCAGCAAGCCAAGCTGTGGGGACAGAGCTGGCTTTGCACAGCTCCAGGCCCACTTGGCACAGAGCAGGACAGGGGAGGCTATTGGGGCCCCAGACCTCTACCCATGAGGAGGGAAGAGCATGGCTAACCCAGAGCCCAGGGGAGGTCTCCACGCCCTCAGCACAGCTTCCAGCCTGGGAGGCAAAGGAGTCCCTGGAGAATGGGGGTGGAAGTGGGGTAAAAGGGAATGCCCTGCTCCCCTCCTTCCTGCGGCTGCCCCTAAAGCTAAGAAAGGCAAGAACTTCACCCAAGTTGTGCTTCCTGGGGGCTCTTGGTCTGCCTGCCCCCCCAGGTGTGGGGGTCACAGTGCAGGGAGTACATGGGGAGGCAGAGGGGAGGGAGGGAGGTCCCTTGGTGAGTTAGCAGCCCCCACATTGAGAGAGGGGTAAAGCCCCCGTCCTGGTCCCACGCACAGCGGAGCCCCACCCCAGGGATGTATAGAGTCCTGCCTGGGGGTCCTGGGCATGTGGGGCTCACCTGGCACTGGAATGTCTGGGTGTGTGAGGAGCTGGGCAGGGGGTGTCCGAGGGGTCAGATAGAGGGGAGGCTAAGCTACGGGCCACAGAGGTCTCTGGTTCCAGCCCGCCCAGCCCGTGGGCTTGCCCTCCCCCAGAGTGGCCATGCCTGTTCCATCCAGAGAGAAACCAGGAAGTCAGTCAAGGGGAAACCTGCCAGAGGAAGGAGCCCGCGAAAGTGGCAGAACAAGGCTTCAGTTGGCAAAAAAAAAAAAAAAGCTGGAGGAGGGATGGGAATAAACAAGCCGTTGCAGATCTTAAGAAACAGAGACACTGAAGGGTGGATGGGTCACGCCCCGGGACGGATGCGATGTCATGGAATGCACTGAAGACTGGTTGGGGAGGGCACCGCGGGGCTCAGATGGCCTCCACGTAGTTGGCCGGCAGCATCCCCGTGTCGCCAGTGCGCTCCACGGTCCCATACATCCAGCCGTCATCGATCTGCTGCACGTTGACGATGGTGTCCCCATCCTGGAAGGAGACCTCATCCTCGTCGGCAGCGCTGTAGTCGTACACCGCACGGTACCGCTTCTGGGGGTAAGGATGCACAGTCAGCCCGGCCGGGCCAGCGGGCTCTCGCCCCGGTTTCTTTCTTTTTTGCTGGGACTAGAACCCAGGGCTCGCAAATGCCCGGGGAGCGCTCCACCCTGAGCTTGCTCCTGACAGCTGTACCTCCAAGTGATTCTCCAGGACTCCTGAGCACACCCAAGAAAGCAGTGACCCAAGAGATGGAGGACCTGGGCTGTGATCTGCCATCATTTTTCTTGTGTCTTACATTCTGAAAGTCCGCCCCCCACCCCGCTTTTTTTTTTTTTTTTAGGGGCTGGGGTTGTGGCTCAGTGGTAGAGCGTTCATCTCCCACGTGCGAAGCCCTGGGTTTGATCCTCAGCACCACATAAAAAAATAAATAAGTAAAATAAGGTATTGTGTCCAACTACAACTAAAAAATAAATATTAAAAAAAATTTTTTTTAATGTGGTGCTGAGGATCGAACCCGGAGCCCCAGGCCAGTACTCTAATGCTGAGCCACGACCCCAGCCCCTGAGTTCCTGCCCTTTATGGATGTACTTGGCACTGACTAAAGGCCAGGCACAGGGCAGGCTGGGGATACATTCACACACCTCGCCTCCCCCACCAGGGATGCAGGAAGGTTTCACAGGCAAGATGTGGAGATTGTGTTTAAAAATGTGACCATAAATTAAAAATAAAATAAAATGTGATGATGGCTATTCACTACTATTTGGATTATTATAAGCACCAATGGTTTCCTTTTGACGCCATGACTAGACTGGTTTTATTCCCAAGTTAGGGACAAAAACCTTTCCTTGAGGGAAAAATCTTGAGTGGTCATGAATGTGTATCAGGCTCCACCTTCCAAGCCTCAGTCACAACCTGTGTAAACCCCATCATAGATGGTCCCTGACGTGACATCTATCGGTGGTAGATGGCCATCTAAATTCCTTGGTTCTCACTGTACCCTGTCCAGGGGCTTCAAAAAACAAAGTTTGAAATCTATAACCCCGCAGGATTAGAGGCCACACCCTTCACAAAGTGACCTGGACTCTCTTATCACTAACTCTACCTCTATCTCAGGCCAAAGTTGCTGCCATCTAAGATCATGTCCTGCAACTGCCTCCCAACTTGCCTCTCTGCTTCACCCTCAGTGCTCGACGGCTGACTTCCCATATAGGCGCCACCGCGATCTTTTAAAAGCATTATGTCAGGCCAGGCCTGGTGGCAGGTGCCTATAGTCCCAGATCCTTGGGAGGCTGAGGCAGGAGGACTGCTTGAGCCCAGGAGTTTGAAGCCAGCCTGGACAACACAGCAAGACCTTGTCTCAAAAAGTAAAAAAAGGGTAGCTGGGGGTGGTGATGCACCTCTATAATCCCAGTGGCTTGGGAGGCTGAGGCAGGAGGATCACAAGTTCAAAGTCAGCCTCAGCAATTTAGAAGACCCTATCTCAAAATAAAGGACTGGGGATGTGGCTCATAGGTAAGTGCCCCTGGGTTCAACTCCTAGAACTAAAAGTAAAAAGGACAAGCAAACCCCGTCAGTCTGCACAGACTGCCAGTCACCAAGGCCCTCCTGTGGCCTACGAGTACCTCTAGGTCTGACCCCACCTACCCTCCTCCTGTCTCTAATCACCTCGGCCCTCCTGCTGGCCCTTGAACTTCATAGGACAGTCCTACCTTGGGAACTTTGCACTTGCTGTTCTCCCTGTGCCGTTCACCCCTCCACTTTATTGAGGACTTTGCTCAAATGTCACTTTTTTATTTTTAGTTGTAGATGGACACAATACCTTTATTTTGTTTATTTAGTTTTTTTATGTTGTGCTGGGGATCAAACCCAGTGCTTCATGCATGCTAGGCAAGTGCTCAACCACTAAGCCACAACCCCAGCCCTCAAATGTCACATCTTGACCCTGCTGCTCCCTGTCCCTTACCCAGCTGTCTATCTTCAGAGCATATACCAGACAGTGATCTGGCCTGACATTATTTACCTACTTAGTGATTGCTTTCTTGCTGGAATATAAGCTCCTAGAGGGTGGGAAGGTGGTGGAATCACTCATGTCCTGTATCTGAAGGACTGGCTGGTCATCTGAAACCTTATCCTTCAGATGACCTCTTCCCAGCCCCCATAGCAATAACACATCCTTGTGTATGTCCAGGACAAGAGGCTCCTGGAAGTCACTTGAGACCCACCTGACATGGGACGGCATGGCAGAGCCCTTAGAGCCCTTAGAGGCAGGGATTAGCTGAGCAGAAGGACATGGAGGGATCAACCCATGAGAAAGAAGCAGGACCCAGGTCTGGAAGGCCCCAAGCAGAAAGGTGCTTTGTGTGCACCCACGGAGCCAGAGCAGGGAAATGGCCAGGACAAGAGGAGTGACTTGGCTGACACACTAGGGCCAGGACCCAGGGCCCCAATCAGTCAGACCTGGCCCCGTCCACCGCACTTCCTCTCAGTGAGGCTGAGACCCCTGCTACCTACACAGGGTCAGAGGTCAGGAGAAGCCATGGCCTATGTCCAGGAGGCCTTCCCAGGGGCGCCAGTCCCTCTGGGGGTCTGTCCACCTAGTCAGGGTTACTCACCCCGCCCCCGCCTGGGGCGCTGCGCTGTATGGAGACTGGGGCTGCAGGCTCCTTGTAGCCACCGTAGGCTGGAGTGGCCTGCTGCTGCTGGGGCTGCTGGTAGACTGGAAGGTGGGAGAGAGGACTCAGAAAGTGATCTGCGAGACCCAGCCCTTCCCAGGTCCCCTTGTGGGAACAATGTCACCGCCCCATCCCCAACCCCGCTCGCCCCCACCCCTCAGCTGCTCTGCCTGTGCAGGGATTCCCCAGCAGGGTCTGTGAGTCCTCTCAAGCTGGGGGCTGCCCTCCTGATCCCCGGCCCAGCTCAGGCCTGACCCCAGCGCCATGGGTGGGACCTGGGGTTTGTGCCTATGTGTGCGCAAATGGCTCTCCTTCAGCCCCCTCCTGGCTCTTGGGCCTGGCTGCACAGGCCCACACCCACCAGGGGCGCTGGTCGGGACGTGGTGAGGCGGCTGCTGCTGCTCCTGAGGCCGCCGGTAGCTGCTGCTGTCCTGGGCGTCCCTGCGCTCTGGCTCCAGGCCCTCACCCCCACTGGGGCCCATGCGGCTCTTCTCAAACTCCTCATGGTACTTTATCTGCAAGGGGCAGAGGCACCAGGTGAGAGCTCCTGCAGCAGGAAGCCAGCCAGGATCCTGCTGCCACAGACCCTGAGAGGAGAGCGGAGCACAGGCACGAGCCAGTGGTCCCAGTTGTTTGGGAGACTAAGGCAGCAGGATCACCTGAGCCCAGGAGTTCAAGGCCAGCCTGGGCAACATAGTGAGACCCCATCTCAACAAAGATCCTGGGCTGGGAGGCTCCCTGAGGACTCCAGGCAGGCAGAGCACATCTGCATGCATTTGGACACACCTGTAAAATAGGTCACTGGTGTCTAGCTTAGAAGCTGGAGATGTAAGAACAGGGCCATGGAAGTGACAGCATCAGATGAATGTGAACGGTTATTTGTATGTGCCTGGGGCAGGGACTGGGCCTTCCCTGCTTCCATCCTGGTCAACAATAGCAGCCAACTCTGTTTATTGAGCTCTTACTATGTGCCAGGCACTGTGCTAGGTATTCTATGTTACAGGCTACTCTTCATCTGATCAGCACCTCACAGGAGTTTGTTGATCCCTTCTCGCCAAAAGGCTTCAACTGGAGACTGCTGCTGTTCACGTGGTTTTATTTCACTCCTTTATTTAGTTATACTGGGGATCAAACCCAGGGCCTCCACACTCTAGGCAAGTGCTCAGCCATGATCTCCAGCTTCACACAGATTTTTTTTTAACACAATCCTCAACGACACAAAAATATCACTTTGCAATATGGAAAGTGCAGTGTAAAACACACCCAAAACACGAACGGCAAAAGCAGGGAGACGCAGAAGCAGCAGACCCAGGAGCGCTCGGGTTTTCTGGCCCCTCATGAGACACTCACCCACTCTGGAGACCCCGAGGGGAGAAGCTTGACCAAGGGGAGGTGCCGAGACCCAGACTTTGAGCGCTCTGTGAGAGCTGGGCTGGCCTCAGGGTGGGGAGAAAGTGGGACAGAGAGTGACAGGTTGAACAGCCCACCCCCACTCCCCAGGGGAAACTCAGAAAGCAGGGAAAGCAGGACAGAGGGACAGCCAGAGAGAGGCACAAGCCCTCTCCCAGGGAGTCCTGGGCCCCGAATTCCCTGCAGGCCTTGGGCACCTGACTGGAGGCCGGCTCTCACTTCCTGCTCACCAGGACCCTGTCCTGCCTCTTCCTGTTCCTGGGAAATGATGGGAGTGGGGGAACAGGGCAAAGAGTCAGGCAAAGCCTGTTTCCTGGAGCAGAAGGGAAGGACCCGAGGTCCTGGGCCCTGAGTGTCCTGTCCAGGCCTGACCCATGCTGACGCAGTCCAGGGCCCCCTTGGCTAGGCTTTCTCTGCTGGCTTCTCTCGCCTTTGGCATGAGTTGAGTCGAGGGCAAGAGCTGACACTTGGCGGGGCAGACCCCTGGGCCACTTCTACTGGCTAAAGAACTGTTATCTACTGCAGGCTGCGCCAAGAAGGCATGCGGGAGGGATCTGGTCTGGAGGCAGAAAGCAGCTCATTTAGGAGTTTGGGTCAGAACCAGCCCTTCCTTTCCCTGTCCCCTCCCTTCATGGCAAAGGAGGGAGCCACACCCGATTGGCAAAGCAAGCCAAGCCCTGTCCAATGCAGGCGCCACCTGTTCCCATCCATACCAACAACCTGCACGCCTGCAAGCTCTTCAGAGTTCACAAAAGCTCTTTGTACATCATCTTCCCTGACCCTGACAATGGTCACCCTAAAAAAAATAAGCTGGGGCTGGGGATGTGGCTCAAGTGGTAATGCGCTTGCCTGGCATGCATGGGGTGCTGGGTTCGATCCTCAGCACCGCATAAAAAAATAAAATAAAATAAAGATGTTGTATCCACTGAAAACTAAAAAATAAATATTAAAATAAAAAAAAATAAGCTGGATACAGATACTTTAGTTTCCATTTTACAGAAGAGGAAAATGAGGCTCAGAGACAAACGACTTCCAGAGATGGTGACACGAGGACAAAATCCTAGGCAGGCAGCCCCTTCCCTGGTAACAGGCGCAGGAGCAGGGTGACCACATACTGCCTGCCCCTAGTTCCAGCTCCTGTCTACTGTCCAGGAACCAAATATGAAGGCCACCGCTTTCAGCAGGGCGTGATCCCAGCAACTTGGGAGTTCAAGGCCAGCCTGGGCAATTTAGCAAGATCCTGTTTCAAAATAAAAAAGGCTGAGGACGTAGTTCCGTGTCACAGCACCCTGGGCTCATCCCCCATAAAAAAAAAAAAAGAAAGAAAGAAAAGAAAACAGAATACCCCTTTTCATTTTCAAAAGGGGTGATAAGCATAAGGCCACCCTAACTTGGAGGGGACTCCAGGCGTGCAGATCAGGAGAGAGAGCGCAAAGGAAGCCTCTTCCTCCACCTCCCTCCACAGCAAATGAGGAACCTGTGTCCTTGCTTTGCTGACTACCGGATGGGTGTTAAGTGCATCCAAGCACCACAAGGTGAGAGCACATCCCGAGGCAAGGACCCTCCAGAGTCCTCCGGGGGGCTGGCAGATCCCTGCTCCCAGCTCAGCACATTCCTGATGTTCTTAGAGACCTGAGGGTCGCCAGAGCCCAGGACCACCAGCAGAGCCCCAGGGCGAGTGTCCTGGGCCCCCCTGGAGGAGGCCAGCTCCAACTGTGCCAGGAGGCCCAAGTGCACATGGTGCTGAGCCCTGGGCCCCTGCTGGCCAGGTCTTCAGGGAGACTAGGTAGGGTCCCCTCCAAAACCCTCCCAGCTGATGTTCCGTTTTCTGAAGCCCCTGCTTCCTGATTGTGGTGGAAAGAACGAGAGCGTGACTCCCTACACGTTCCTCCCCACATGATTCTTCACCACGGCTGAGGAGGGAGCACGGCGGCTCTGAGCGGAATAACCAACTCACCGGCCAAGGTCTCTCTTTAAAAATAACAACGCCTCTCACCCGCCGAGGTCCTGTTTTGTGCCCTTATAAAACTCTCTTCCCTTCCTCAGCCAGACCAAGAAGACTATAACATTATCACCCCCATTTACAGATGGGGAAACCAAGGCTGAAGAGGACAGTGAAGTCAGCATCCAGCTCGGACTTGAGAGTCTTAGTTCTCAAGCACCACCCCGTTAGAGAAATAGTATTTTACTTTTAAAACACATAAACCTGGGGCTGGGGATGTGGCTCAAGCGGTAGCGCGCTCGCCTGGCATGTGTGAGGCCTGGGTTCGATCCTCAGCACCACATACAAACAAAGATGTTGTGTCCGCCGAAAACTAAAAAATAAATATTAAAATTCTCTCTCTCTCTCTTTTTGAAAAAAAAGAAAAAAAAAAAAAAAAAAAACACATAAACCTGGACTCAACTTCATCAGTAGTCAGGGAAATGCAAGTTCAAATATAGCGAGACACACTCAAAACGGCTAAAATGGAAAAGCCTGAGGATATGGGACAGGAAAACTCAACACTGCTTGGGGGAAAAAGGTAACTCGGCACAATCACCTGGAAAATAGTTCAGCATCACATGGAAAGCTGAAGAGACATACACTCTGAGACCTGGCAATCTCACTGCACAGAAGCACCAGAAGAGAGGATGTCCACTGGACTTATAAATAATCAAAGTGTCCATCAAGAACAGAATCAATAATATGCAGTATGATCACCCATGGAATACTATGCAGCAACAAAAAGGGATGAACTAGGACTACATGCAAACATATAGATGAATCTTCAAACCCAGTGTTGTGCAAAAGAACCAAGATATACACACAACACACACATACCATACTGTATGTTCAAAATTAGAAAAGCCAGGACTGGGGTTGTAGTTCAGTGGTAGAGTGCTTGCCTCTCAGGTGTGAGGCACTGGGTTTGATCCTCAGCACCACATAAAAAATAAACAAAATAAAGATATAAAAGAAAATAAGAAAAGCCAAATAACATTATGTAAACATATGCATATACTATAGTTATACATTAAAAACTATAGAGAAAAAAAAAGTATATTAAAATCAAATTAACAGGCTGGGGAACTAGCTCAGTTGGTAGAGTGTTTGCCTCATATGCACAAAGCCCTGGGTTCAATCCTCAGGAACACACACACACACACACAAAATCAAATTAGCAAGGCATGGTGATGCATGTCTGTAATCCCAGCAGCTCAGGAGGCTGAGGCAGGAGGATCTCAGCAATAGCAAGACACTATGCAACTCAGTGAGACCCTGTCTCTAAATAATAATACAAAATAGTGCTGAAGATGTGGCTCAGTGGGCGAATGCCCCTGAGTCCAATCCCTGGTACCCACTCACCCCAAAAAATCAAATTAGAGGATTACCCAGCAAGCCTGCCTCTGAACCATTTAACTCTGGGAATGAAACTTGACTACTATTTAGCCAAACTCTGAAGACTGACACTAACTTACTGAACACAAAATGCTAATTATTTTTTGGCTAACAGAAATGCAGAGAAATCTGCCTGTAGCCAAGATAACTTCAAAGTTTATGGTTTTATTGTCCTGTCGGACATTGACCAGGTGCAGCTTGCGATACACTCTCCAGCCCCTTGCCATCTGCCACCTGTGTTGTCCACCCAGAATCTCCAGCTAGTTAATATTTAACTAGGCTGAGGCAGATGCTTGCTACACTCTGGTCCTTAACACTCTAAAATTATTTGGGCAGGGGCCTGGAAATGTAATGTTCTATTTCTTGGTTTGCATCATGAGAAAGCAGGTGTTTGGGGGCTGGAGTTATAGCTCAAGGGTAGGAGGCCTGCCTAGGACGCATGAGGCCCTGGGTTCAATTCTCAGCATCTGTGTGTGTGCGCGTGCAAGTGAACACACACACAAAGTATTTACTTACACCCACAGTAAGTATTTACTGTGTTACTATGCTGTTATAGTTTTAAAAAAGAGAAACTGAAAGTAACCAAAGTGTATACAGAGAATCAATATGTAAGTAAACATGTCAGTGAATAAAAGCAGAGGCTTCCATAAGGGGCTCCAGTAACAAGCTTCCAGGGTTTTAGGTGCAGCAAGCCTGTGGAGCTCAGGCCACTGCAATGCTCAGCCCACACCCAACAGCACTGGGCCGGCCCTCTTAACCCTCTAGATTCCTTTAATGAGGACAGAATTACCACAGATGCATCACTTACTGGCATCTCTCCTGGTAACAGGACTGAGGTTACAGCTCAATGGTAGAACTCTCACTTTGCATGCACAAGGCCCTGGGGTTCCATCCCCAGCACCACCAAAAAAAAAAACCTCATACCTTCTTAGCATTAGATAATGGCCAATTTCAGCCAAACTCTGCTCTACTTTCCTTCTTTAGTATAAAAAGCAGACAAGTCTGCCTTTGAAGTATTATTATCAACATTTGTCCTTGACATCTTCCTCACAATCAGCTTTCAAGGTAGGGCCAGTTATTCCAGCATTAACAGATGAGGAAACTGAGCAACCCGCCCAGTGGTGGAATGGCAAAAGCGGGATTCCAGCCCTTGGGTTCTCCCTCCCCAGTACCTTGCCTCTTTGTTTTTTTTTTTTTTTTGTACCAGGGATTGAACTCAGGGGCACTCAACCACTGAGCCACATCCCCAGCCCTGTATTGTATTTTATTTAGAGACAGGGTCTCACTGAGTTGCTTAGCATCTCGCCATTGCTGAGGCTGGCTTTGAACTCATGATCCTCCTGTCTCAGCCTCCCTGAGCTGCTGGGATGACAGGCATGAGCCACCAAGCCTGGCACCTCTTTGTGGTTCTAAGGACAAATGCACACAGCCAAAGCAATAATTCCCCCAGACCAGACACTTGTTTCCACAATGCTCTGGCTTGGGACTGGGATGTAGCTCAGTGGTGGAGCACTTGCCTAGCAACAGCAAGGGGCCTGGGTTCCATTCCCAGCACTAAAAAAATCAAAAGAAAACAAAACCTCATGCTGGTAAAACCCGTAGCTGCAGAACATGACTCTAGTAGGACAAGTCTTCATCTCTTTGCAAGATGGCCTGACCTTCAGAAACAATAAGGTCATCTGGAGCTAATCGGGAAGGGACAGGTCAGAGACAGGAAAGCTATTTTGGAAACAAAAGGTGTGGCTCTGAATACCATCTTTCCCAAAATTCCTCTAGAGGTTGGCACAAGATAGCAGTGGTTCTGAGTGAAGTTTAAATTTCTCTTGAGGTTTTAGGCCAAGTCAGTTCTGGCATCCTCTGATTAGGGGGTGGTGAAACTTACTTTATCATTTTAAATGATAGCTCTCAATTTTAGCAGGCCATGTGCGGTGGCACACACCTGTTATCCCAGCAACTCAGGAGGCTGAGGCTGGAGGATCACAAGTTCAAAGCCAGCCTGAGTAATTTAGTGAGACTCTGACTCTAAACAAAAAATACAAAGGGATGGGATGTGGCTCAGAGGTAAAGCACCTGTGGGTTCAATCCCCAGTACCAAAACATAAAAATGAAACTTCAGAGAGCACCACTATAACCCAAGGAAACGTGTCTAAAAACTGATTCCTGGGATCCAGAGAAGAGGAGGCAGGGCAAGGAGGCCAAGAGTCTGCATTTTCACTAAATGCCCAGATGCTCATAGTTGAGACACACACTTGATAGTCTTTAATTGCATTCTCTAAAACCAAGAATCTTCACAGCCTTGTGGTTACACTTCAGAGATTCCAGCTAAAACTGCAAAAGCAACCACCAGGTCAGGTCACCTCCCCCACCTCAGAGCAGAGGACAATCAGCTAGTTGCAGCTTGGGTTGCGGATAAGATGGTTATCTCCTAGTGTGGATGTCTGGGCCACAGTGAGTTTTTGTTACTAGGACACCTCAGACATTAACACCTACAGTAATGGGGGCAGAAGAGCAGGTAGAATAGGCTGGGCGTGGAATATTCTGGAAGCCTTCCAGATAGGGTGGCAGGGACAAATGGGCCTGTTTGTCTCCTCTCCTCCAAAACGCACAGTGGGGCTGGGATTGCAGGCTGGGAACAAGCAACAGAGGTCTGGGGAGGAAGCTCAGCAGCAGAGTGTTTGCGGAGGCCCTGGTGTGATCCCCAGAACCATAAATACATAGATAAATTAAAATACACAAAATTAAACACAGGGTCCCTCACAATGAAAAGCCCCAGGAGACCAGCTCTGTGAACTGTCCAGGTCGTCCCATTACCCAAGGCCATGTCCACCTTCCCCACTTTGCACACTGAGGGCTCTGAGCTCTAAGACACAGAACCTTGTCACCCTTTGGGGGACCTAGGCCAGAAGGGAGGCTCCAGGGAAGGTGCCAGCACTAGCATAGAAAGGGGTACGTAATGGCCCACCTGTCTCCAACATGGCCATGTTCAGAGAGAGGCCCCTGGGAAGTACTGGATCATGAATGCTCCACCTCATGGATGGATCAATCTATTGATGGAGTCATAGGTAAATGGACTCCTGGGAGGTGACACTGCAGGAGGTGGGGCCTAACTAAAGGGAACAGGTCTTGAGGGCATGCTCTTGGGGACCACATCTTATTCTGGCCCCATTCTTCTCCTCTCTCTGCTTCACCACAAGCCAAGCAGTTCTGCTTCACCACACACTCCCCACCGTGATGTTCTGGCCCACCACAAGCCCACAGCGAGGGGCCAGGATCTCATCAGAAACCAAGAGTCAAAATAAATCCTTCTTCCTTTAAGTTGATTTTCTCAGGTATTTTGTCACAGTACCGGAAAGCTGACCTTAATACAGGGCAACTGTGGGAGCAGAGAAGGATGAGAGCCCTCTAAGCCGTGCCCTCTCTAGCCAAAGGGAAACACCCCATTTCCTCGGAACACCAATTTCAAACTGCAGGTCAATGATTTTGTTGTGAGACTCATTTAGTAAGTCTCCACTCAGCATCTTTACAAAATAAAGGAACAGAAAATATCTGAATGAGCCCTCCATATAGTAAAATACTCATTCATGAAAGTTTTTTCCTCTTTTGTTTTTTTCCTTTGCAGTACTGAGGATCGAACACAGGGTGTTCCACCACTGAGCTGTATCTCCAGCTTTTCTTATTTTGAGACAGAGTCTTGCTAAGTTGCTCAGGCTGGCCCCAAACTTGTGATCCTTCTACCTTCACGACATGAGGAACTATGAAGTCTTTTCTATGTTGCAGTGCTGGGGACCTAACCCAGGGCTTTGTGTATGCCAGGTAGGTGTTCTACCACTGCATCCCCCGACCCTGTTCATGGAAGTTTTGTTTTGTTTTGTTTTTGGTACTAGGGATTGAACCCAGGGGCACTCAACCACTGAGCCACATCCCCAGCCCTTTTTTAAAATTTTTATTTAGAGACAGGGCCTCGGTAAATTGCTGAGGCTGGCTCTGAACTCATGATCCTCCTGTCTCAGCCTCCAGAGCTGCTCGGATTACAGGCGTGCACCACCACGCCCGGCTTCATGGAAGTTTTGATTATGTTTCCTTGCTAAAAAAAAAAAAAAAAAAAAAATGCATGTCTGGTTAGTGGATCCAGATGTAAAATATATTTCTTATCATATGTGGAACTCAAAGTTTGAAAGCCACTGTCTTGGGCGTGGCTGGCTTTGTTAGCTGTGCTGGAAATCCACTTGACCCTCGGCTGTAGCCCACTCTAAGTACTGCCCAGCCAACTTCCAGAAGGAGTGCCCTGCCAACGAGGCCCGATGGAAGGATGGGGAGGGCTGTGGAGCCCAGAGGGTGGGTGCTGGGTGGGCCATCTGAAACCGGGGCCCTTCCCCAGTCCCTCAGCCCACAGTCACACAGGCAACTGGTTGACAGAAGACAACGGCCAGCCCAATCCTTCATTTATAGAACCTTGGAGCCCGGGCTGGCTGGGCACGCCCCTCGGCTTGGGGTACTGCAGGGCCCTGTGCACGGGCTTCTGCTTCTGTAGTTGTGGTTTAGAGCAGCACTCGATTCTCCACAAGCCCCAAATAAGGTCCCCCACAAGCCCAGAGCCACACAGGCTGCTGCTGGTCTGTGGCTCTGTCAGGAAGGAAACTGAGGCCTATTCTCTGGTCCCAGGTGCTAGAAGGGCACACGATGTGGGGACCGTAGATCCACTGCCTGCTCTCCACACCCACCTGTGCTGCAGCCAGGCCCCAGTGACCAGCCCAAACCCAGGAGGGCCCAGGCTGGGGCTGCAAGACCAGTGGGCGAAGCTGGCTGGGGTTTTTACACAGGAAGGAAGAACAAGCCGAGGTGGGAGGAGGCGAGGGAGGGCGGAAATGACTGCAATGTCAGCACCCAGAGGCAGACAGGAGGAGGCCAGGCCTCCCTGCCCCCACCCCCAGTTTTGACCTTTGTGCTAAGACAAAGCATCAGGTCTTCACCCTGACACCCACCATACCCAGAAAAGAGAAGACAGCTCAGGGTGGGAGAGGACGCGTCCCCCATCAACGCTCCCACAAAAGGGCAGCCCCTTCGAGGAGGAAACGCTGTGTGGGCCTAGTGTGGCAACAGGGGGTCTGGGGCACATAGAGCAAAGGCACCTGGGAAGCCCAACCCTGCCCTGCCCTCTGCGCGGGCAGCCATCAGCCAGACCTGCTGGGGAGAAGCCATGCAGGGAGCTGGTCCCATTCATGTCAGCCAGGCTGGCCGGGAGGGGACAAGGAAGGGCAACAGGCAGCGTGGGCCGGAGGGCGGGGGGCAGGCTCACGTTGCTGATCTGGTCCTGGGTCTTCTTGATTCTCTGGAGTTCGGGTGTGTCTGCCACCACGCTGAAGCCTTTGCCCTTGTTCTTCTCAAACTCCTCCTTGTAGCGCACCTGGGGACCAGCGAGACAAAGAGAGACTAGGGTCAGACAGGGGAGCAGAGAGCGCCCAGCTGGAGGCCCCTATGAAACAGCACCATCAGGAGATGGAGACGGGGCCCAGAGAAGGATCCCAGCCAGAAATTCCTGGTGCTGAGCAGACGCCTTGGCTAGAAAGCGACAATAACCCACTAACATTTGCCCGGCACATTCTGAGATGTGCTAAGTGCCTCACATAAACTCTCTCATTTAAGTCCTAATCCCATATATACTATTAGCCCCATTTTACAGATAAGGAAACTAAGCCATCAAACGGCACCTCGGCAGCCATCTGTTCCCCTGCCTGAGGTCATACAGCTTAGCAGCAAAGATCTAGTCACCAGGCCTCACCTGCCTGCCTTCTGACCCTCTCTAGCAGCCCCTCCTACCCGAAGCTATAGAAAGTTTTTCGTTTTGTTTTTCATATTGGGATTAAACCCAGGGACACTTTACCACTCAGTTACATCCCCAGCTTTTTTTTTTCAATTATGAAACAGGGTCTCACTAAGTTGTTTGGAGCTTAGCTAAATTGCTGAGGTTGGCCTTGAACTTACGATCCTCCTGCTTCAGCCTCCTGAGTCACTGGGCTGATAGGTGTTGCCACTGCGCCCAGCAGGAAGAAGGTTCTCGCATGCGCTCCTAGGACTGCCGACCCTAACCTAGCCAGGAGGTAGCCCTACCCACCAAGAGCCGGGGTAGTTTTGAAGTGACCAAGTGAGTGAGAGCTGTGCCAAAGGACAAAGCTGGTGCCTAGAAGGGAGGGTAGTGAGACAGCCAGAGGGGAGGCCTCATCGATGAAACTTTCTGGGGAAGAACCCAATCACCCTCTGTGGCCTTCCTTTTGTGAGAATTCTACTGAAAAGTCAAGTACTACAGGAATTCAAAACAGACTACAAAGGACTCCCAAGCTAGGCATGGTGCTATGTGCCTTTAGTCCCAGTTACTCAGGAGGCTGAGGCAGGAGGATCACTTGAGCCCAGGAGACCAAGACCTACCTGGGTTGTTACCCTGTATCGGAAAAAAAAAAAAAAAAGAAAAAGAAAAAGAAAAAAAAGCAAGAAAGCAAGCAGAACTTCTCTGAAACTAAAGAAATTGAAATATGAGGAACAGCTTGTCCTCCCTGGGGGCTTTGAAGAGCAAAACTGAGGCTGGGAAATACTCGTGGGACAGGGAATGTTCTCCTTGGCTTCCAGAGACTCCCTGTCCACCTCGGCAGCCATCTGTTCCAGACCCCGCCAGCTGCCTGGATTCCCTCCATGGGGGCCGCACTGTCCTGAGACAGGTCAGCCCAGGACATGAGGCCCAGGACTTTGGGAGTTTCCAGAATGACAAGCCCAAGCAGCTCCCAGGCTTGGAGTCACTGACTGCCATAGCAGCGAGCTGCTACTCGTGACATGTGACCAGTCCCCACCCTCCTCTTCATAGCTCCAGGAGCCAGAGGTCCTGGTTTGGGGTTCTTCTTCCTCCTTTGTTCTGAGGCGGATCAAAATGAAAGGCATAGCCAGGCATAGTGGCTCCACCTGGGAGGCTGAAGCAGGAGGATCCCAAGTTCAAGGCCAGCCTCAGCAATTTAGTGGGGCCCTAAGCAACACAGCAAGACCCTGTCTCTAAATAAACTACAAAAAAAGGCTGCGGATGTGGCTCAGTAACCCTGGGCTCAATCCCAGTACCAAGGAAAAAAAAGAAAGAAAGGCCAAGGGGTGGGACTTGGTTCCCATCAGACCAGAACTTATTGCAAGGAGCTATGGCCCCACCCCAACCTGTCCAACATCAGCTCTTCCGGGAGAACCTGGGTCTGCACAGTGGGGGACCCCTGAAGAAGGAGGACATCAGAGAACGGAAGGAACCTGAAGACAGAAAAATGTAGCTCTAGACGCAGAAGCCCTGAATCTAAGGCCTCCGATCTCAGTTCTCCCCTCATGTGTAAAAAGAGCCATTAGAGGAATGGGTTAAAACATGGGGTAGGGCCTTCCCATCACTAAACGGGACACAGAGCCAGACTGGGACACAGAGCCAGACTGCGCTGGTACTGACAGGCTCAGAATTCCTTCTGCTAAGTGATCTTGGGACAATGACTTAACCTCCCAAGCCTCGGTTTCCACATCTGTATAATGGTGACAATCGTTCCAGTCACTCGGACAGTGGCTCCACGGACCAGTGAGGGTGACTGTGAAAGTGCTTTGTCCACCCTGTCCTTCCTCTGTTTCCTGCCTTTGCAAGGGTCAGGCCCCTAATCCAGGGGAATAATCACCATGGTGACACTGCAATGACATCAGCTGGTTCCCAGGCTCAGAAATTGCTCCGCTCCTTACTGGGGAAGGATAATTCATGACTCTCCCAACACAGGAGGCCAGGCCGAGGGGGGCGGTCTGGGGGAGCAAGGCTGAGAAGGGGGGGTCTGGGCTCAGAGCCGCTTTGCTGCAGGTCCCTACTCAGGCTAATTCCCTTCTCTAGGCTTCCTGGATGGCTGGTCTCTAAAAGCCTCCCTCTCTGAAGTCTGTGACCATTTTTAAGCACCTTCAGGCCCCAACTAGAGAAAAGATGTGGGCAAGATTCTCTTGAGGGGCCTTTTGGTGATGGAGGGAGTGGCAGAGGTGGGGCCAGGAGCATGAGGAGGCCCAGGCTCCCTCCTGGCCCACTCAGGAGGCTTGCCCTGGGTCTGGAGTGACTCACCGGGATGTTAAGAGGTCCCTGGAGGGCAGAAAAGGGACCTGTCCCAAGATCACATGACCCTGCTGTCATGGGGTCAGAGTGCAACTCAACACTTTGGGCCAGATGACTCCATCCCTGGTTGATGACTGCGCCCTGACCTGGAAACTCCCATGGATGAGCTGGGACTGGTGCCCAAGCTCCTGGTGCCCACACACCACCACCTATGAAATCCTACCCTTTGGATGTAGGTTCTTAGTTATTCTCCTTGGATCTACCTTACACATCACTCAACCCAGCCAACAGCAGTACAAATCAGTGTTTGCTGAATGAATGATGAATGGATCGAACAGAGGCTTCATCTCTAAATAAACCAGCAACATTATTTGGCAAAACAAAAAAACAAAACTGCTTAATGATCCAGAATAAGAAGATCGTGGCTTTAAAAAGTGGGAACCCTGCCCCAGAGTACAGTGTGGGACTCTCACTGCACACTCCGCCCTCCTTGGTGGCATTCCCCATAACACCATGAAGGTGACAATGACAGGAAAAATGAAGAAACATTCTCTCCTCACCTTTCTCAGACCACAGGGATGCCTCCAGCCCAGCCCCACCCAACACCACTGCCTCCCTCAGCCCGAGGGTGAGGCACCGGATGAGGAAGGTGGGGTCGGGGCCCACTGCCAGCTCCACAGGACCACTCAGAGGGTCACTTCTGGACAGTTCTGTGGTTACCTCCCCCGCTGGGGAGGCTATAGGTGTCCCAGACACCCAAAGTGCCACTTTCAGGACCAATATAGACAAAAACAAGTTGAAATAGCATGGGCAGCTTCCCAGAGACAGGGCTGAGGCACAGGGAGGCCAGCCCAGGAAGGGACCCTGGGAAGACACTGGCTAACACCCTGATGGGGTGGGGCAGAGCAGGCAGAGGAGGCTCCCACTTCCCTTCCTGCCAGCCACAGGCAGCTGTAGCCAGCCCTGCCCCCACGGACGCCACAGGACTGTCACCAACCCGGGCCTGGCTGGCTCAGCCCATCTAAGCCTCAGAGCAGCCTCAGAGCGTCAGGCCCAGCCCCTAGCTTCTAGGAAAACGGGTTTCTGTCCCCATTTTACTGGTGAGGGGGAGGAAAACACCTTTAGACCACAGTTTGTGGGTGGTGGGAGGGGAGAAGGTCCCTACCTCTCACACTGCCTACCCTACCCCTCAAGACCCCAACAAGCCCGCAGTGCAAAGCCCCAATCCCCTGCCTCACACCTGGGGCATAAATGGAGGGGGAGGCTCTGCTCAAGCCTGTTTCCCTCCTGCCCACCTGCCCCACTCCGAGCCTCCTAAGTGCCCCTGTAAGACCACCAGGAGGGCAAAGCTGCTTGGGCAGAGCCCAGGAATCTGCATTCCATCAAGCCCCCTACTACCCTTGCGGGCTGGCAACTGGGGCTACATGTCAGAGCAGTCAGTCCTGCGGAACTGTTAAGAACAAAGCACGCCCAGGCCAGACCAGCTTGGCTCAAAATCTGCCTGACACTGGACTCTGGGCAAGGAATACGGCCTCTCCACAGCTCGGGGTCTCCGCCTGGACAATGGGGCGAAGTGCCCCTCCTTTGTCCCATGGAATGAGGTCAAGTGCAAGAACGCACAGCCTGGCCCTCAGTGGACACCTAAGGGAAGAGTGGCCATTCTCCAGATTTCCCCAGCCTGCTGGGGACTCAGGAGGGGAGCCGCAGGGCAGGCCCTTGGAGCAGAGGGCATGCATGGAGCAGGAGGACTCCAACCCCTGTGCAGGGTGCTGGCCTCTCCTGCGAGGTGCAGAGCAGCCTTGACCACAGCAAGCCCTGCCCAGCTCCTCACCCCTCCTTGAGGACACCCTGTCCTACAGACCTGCCCCTCAGGGATCAACTTCCAGGGGCAAGAAGAGCGGCAACCCAGCCCTGGTGGGACTGAGGCTGAAGAGTTTGAATTTCCCCTCCTGAGAGTGGGGGATGTGTAGAGTGTGCCCCCTTTACCTCTGCCCCTATGCAAAGGCTCCCCGACCCCTGAATCTGCCTCTCCTCCCAGCACTGCCCTCTCTAGGCCCCTGTGACGCCCCTCTGCCTCTGGTCCAAGTGGCTTCCCAAGGGTTGGGGCGTCTGGGCAGGCATCAGGGCCTGGTGAGGGTCTGGCCCAGGCAGCAGTGTTTCTGCCCCCTGGCCCTCCTCAGCTGGCAGGGTACATCAGTCCCTGGCATTTATAGCTCTCCTGCCACAGCCGGGGTGGGATGGCAGATGGGAACTGCTGCTGAGGAACAAAGTAACTATCCCACTTGTTCCCCTCCACTGTGAGTCTCAGACTGACCAGGGCTGCACATGGTCAAGGGACTAGAACAAGGAGTAAAAAGACCAGATCCCAAATCCTGGAATCCTACTACTGTGTGTGTCAACAGGCAAAGCCCTGTGGCACTCAGCCTCCATACCTATCTGCAACATGGAGGTAACAGTACCCTCTCCTAAGACAGGCGAGGTAACTCAAAGCACCTGCTAAGCTACAAACGCTCTCAGCAGTGTCAGGGACTACTAAGATGGAGACGGCTCTCACAGAGTGCAGAGAAAACTGGAAAGACCAAACTGTGCTCAAAGCCACAGCCTCTATTTCCTCTTCCACACAGTGAGGTGCCCCTTTGACTGTGCAGGGCTGTTGTGAGCATTAAATGAGCTAATATGCTTTGGACACTGAGTGCTCAAGACTTTAGTGCTAATGCTGTTATTAGCACCCACTGTCTGCATGAGCTTAGCAAGTCTCTGAATGTCTTAAAGCCTCAGTCACCTCATCTATAGGTTGGGAAAAACAGCATTCTCCTCGCAGGGTTGCAGGGAGGAACTGGAGAGCAGGTAAGGAAAGCCCTATCAGGTGTGGTTCTCCCTGATGGAAGCCAAGGAGGTCACATGATGATCTGGCAGCAGGCCAAGCACGGTGGTGTGCGCCTGTAACCCCAGCTACTCGGGAGGCTAGGACAGAAGGATCCTAAGTTTGATGTGAGCCTGGATTGTGTCTTAAAATAAAAACTGGAAACTAGAAAGGGCAATGGGGATGGGTATCTTAGTGGTCAAGTGCTTGTCTAGCATGCACAAGGTCCTGGGTTCAACCCTGGGTACAGCCCACTCCTGAGGAGCCAGGAGCCAGCCTCCTCTGTGACCCAGGTGGGACTTCCCTGGGCACTCTGCACACTTGGTAAATCCCCTTACTTCTCCCTCCGTGTATTCTCTCATTTAATCCTTTAATCCTCACTGAAGCCCTGCCCTGCCTACCACAGGCCACCCTTGTTCCAGGCAGGGTCTCAGGGCTCCAATCCCCTTGCTTTTAGCTCTGTGTCCCCTGAAGAGGGCGTTCTCCCAGAGCCAGGAAGCGTCTACTTCCCCACAGGAGGGTGGGGGCCTCCCCACACAGCTCAGGCAAGTCAGGCCTAAGGGGACAAAGGAGGACAGGCCTCTTCACAGCTGCCCTCCAAGGAGACAAAGAAGGGATGTGACTGCAGGGGATAGACCACGTAGCCTCAGATTGGCACAGGCCTGGAGAGGCCAGTGCCCTTGTCTCCCCCAACCCTTCCTCTGTGGTGGGCACAAATGGAGACGGGACAAGGGGAACAGTTTCCCAGAGGGGGCGGGCTCCAGGGGCCCTGAAGCACAGTGGCAGAGGCCCACACCTCTCCAGCCACTCAGGTAGGAAGGCAGCTGCCCCTTCCTCTGATGAAACCAGGAAGCACCAGTAGCTGGCGGCCTGGGGGCAGGGAGTCTCAAGAGCTAGGATTTCAGCACCTTGTCCCTGCTGAGTAACCACAGGAACCCTTGCCAAACCAGGCTTATGACAGCTCTCCCCACCAGCTGCTGCTCAGGCCGGCCCCTCACCTGACTCTGGAGCTCGCTCTGTTGCTTGAGGCGGAGGTTTTCCGGAGTGTCAGCCACCATGGTGAAGGACTGCTTGGGGTAGTGTCTGCAGACAGAAAAAGCAGAGTCGGCATCACTCCAGGGAAGGATAGGAACCAGGAATGGAGGCTCCATCTGATTCCTGGGCAGTCCCTGCCCCAGCCCCAGCGGCAGTTCAACAGTGTCCCCTGCCATCACTGAGAGGCTGACTGCACTGAGAAGAAAGGGATCTCCAAAGAGGTGTCTGAAGGGCTAAGAAAGCCCAACTGAACTGGAGGATAGGTGAGAAGACCAGGAGGGGGCCACAAAGGAGGTCACAGCCACCCTGGGTGGCGAGTACTGTCATTGTCCCCCTTTGACAGACTGGACAGCTCAGTCTGGAGAGGTTACACAATGTGGCCAAGGCTCATAGGAAGTGGTCAGATCCCTCAACGTCCTAAACTCCATTGTCCCATTTCCATACATGGGACAGATCATGGTCCTGGCTCCCAGAAAGAGCTGGTTTTGGAGTTGGTGGCAGGAGGCAGGGTGGCCCAGACACCCCCATCCCACACAGGAGGAAATAGCAAGCTGGCTCCAGACCCTTGCCATTCAGTGACCCCCATGGCCTTCATAAGGTCCTGGGTTATCAATCCTGGGTCCTGCCACTGGTGCACTAGGTGACCTTATTAATCAGTATTAACTTATTAATCACATGGCTAAATGGTCTTTCTCTGCTATTTCTCCACAAGGGGAGGGAATTTGGGGTCTCTTATTCATTGATTTATTCCAAGCTCCCAGAATCATAGTCGGAGCTCAATAAATGCTTGTGGAATAAACAAGTATCCTACCAGGCGTTGAAGCTCAGCCAGCACCAGAACTTGTTCTCCTGTATCCTCCTGGGTCACTGCAAGGTCCCCCAAGGTCATTGTGGTGGGTGTGTTGTATGTGCGCTGGTATGTGAAATAACTGGAGGTCCCAACCATTTCAGAAGCTAGTGAGTGGTTTCTCCAAGCAGGAACACAAGGTCTAGCCATTTTTAGCTGTGGATGACCACATTCACCAGAACTGTGACCACCACAGATCCCTGACTCACAGGCTGTCCCAAGGTAAGAAAAAGATGGCTTTGCAGGGCATGGTGGCACACTCCTATAATCCCAGTGACTTGGGAGGCCAAGGCAGGAGAATCTCAAGTTCAAGGCTAGCCCCAGCAACTTTGTAATACCCAACAACTTAGCAAGACCTCGTCTCAAATTAAAAAAAAAAATAAAAAGGTCTAGGAATATAGCTCAGTAGTAAAGTACACCTGGGTTCAATCTCTAGGACCAAAAAATAAAAAGGGGTGGGGGGGGGAGGGAGAGAGATGGATGGCCTCCAAGAATCGCCTCCCAGGCACATCCTTCCTGAACTAGCCGACATGCCCAAGAGCTAGCTATGAGCTGCCACCCGCCCACGCTCTCACCAAACCTGGCTTGTTCTCCAGCCACTCACACCACCCTGAGCTACCCAAGAGCTACTCAACACATGACCTCCCTCTTGTCCACCACCTGTGAAAGGCAGGACTTGGGGTAGAAAACTCAGTGAAGAAAGGAGCAACTAGAAAAGGCACAGCTCTGGGCTCTAGTCCTGCCACTGGTGCCCTGGGTGACTGTGGCAAGCCCTTTTCCCCCCTAGGCTACTCTCAGTGTCACAGGCCTAGGTGATACTATCTGTGCTCTGCCCAGGTCCACCCAGCTCAAAGCTCCAGCATAGGGACGGAAGCAGGAGGAGAAAAGCAAACACAGGTGCCTGCAGCTGCCAACAGAGACGGCCTGTGGGTGAACACAGGTCTGAGGCAGGCCCAACCCCCGGCTTGGCCCAGCTCCAGGCAGCCAGGCCACCCACAGCTCAGGAGCCCATTCAGAATTCCTGAGCAGTTCCAAGGCAGGGAGGATCAAGTGGGAGTCTATTCCTAGAGACTAGAGAGAAAGGAACAGAAGGGATGGAAGTAGTATCTCTGGAGGGCCTCAGCGATGACCCTCCCCCCACATGGGGGATGGGGGGACATTCTGAAGGTATCATGGGCTGGGGGCCGTGGTGAGGAGAGCACTTTTGATCTGAATAGAGGAGCCAGGAGATGAGGGGGATACCTCTAGGCAGCTCTGGCCCAGATGTGAAGGGTGCATTCTGAGAACAAGTAGCATTAATGGGGGGCAGGAAGGAAGCAGGCTGGGGGTCTGTGGGAACCAATCTGAAAACCCTGGGGTTTCCCATTTGCCTGAACATATAGGGTGAAAGCAGAGGGCCAGCTCCAGTGGCACAAAGACAGCCAGACACATGCATCTGACGTGTCCCACCCTCTCCCCGATTCTGCAGCTCTGACACCCACTGCGTCCGCCTCCCACGCAGTGAACACACAGATGTGCCCTCTGCAGCAATGGCGTCTCCTGGACACCAAGGACACTAGTCCACGGTGGCAGCTGCCACCTCCTCTACCCACACTGCGTCCCTCCTCACCCTACACCCCACCAAAAGGTCTCAGGAGCCCCTCTCATACACAGCAAGGGCCTCAGATGGGTTGGTGGGTACCAGAGCTCAGGCCTCAGAGTCGGAATACTAATCCCATCAAAGACGCCTGGGAGGAGGGGGTCCGCCGGGGTTGACTCAGTTTGGCAGAGATGGGGAAGGATTTTAATCCTGCATCAGATTAACTAGACTCAAGAGGAGCTCCAGAGCCTTCAACCTCCTGCCCCAGCCCCAGGAGCCCAACCCCAGGCGGAGGAAGGGACAGGCCCTGGGAGGGCTGAGTCCGGCCCCCATCGTACCCGACCCTGGCTGGGTCACCCCGCTCCTCCCCGCAGCTCCCAGCCCTGGTGAGCCGACCCTGCCTTCCGCTTCCCCTGCTCACTGCGCTTCAGGTTCCCATGGCAACCTCATCCTCAGCTCCAGGCAGGAGGGGAGCGGAGACAGGTCTGCGAGCATGGGGGCAGGGGAAGAGGCAGACTGCAGGGTGTCCTCAACCCAGGAGAATTCCCGAGGGCAAAACCTGGAGACCGTGTGTACAGGGGATCCTTGCAGACATTTCAGGTGAGGAAGGGGGTGGCCCTGGTTTGTCTCTAGAGGGAGGGCTTAAAAACCACCAGCGCCATGCCCCTCCCCCACAGGACCGGCTCTGACCAGGGCTCAACTGCTTTGACCTCTTTCCATAAACAATTGCTGGGAATGCTACCTTCTCCCTCCCTGGCATCCTCAGGTAGAACTCCACCTCCCACTGCCCTCGGATCCCACTGGGAAGGGAGGTGTGTGGGTGGCAGTTCAGGTGGGTTCTAAGACAGAACTGGGCCGCCCATCCCAGCTGGAACCCAGCCCCACAACAGACTGGGCCATGGTGAGGAACGGAGGGGCAGGGTGAGGGGGGCCTTGGCACAGAGCTGAGGCCAGAGCACAGCTGTTCATTGTCCCTTTCTGAGCCAGCCTGGGCAGGTCCCTTTTTTTTTTTCTTTTTTGGTATTGGGGATTGAATCCAGGGGCACTCAACCACAATCTACCCCCCTATCCTTTGTTATTTTTTGAGACAGGGTCTCACTAAATTGCTCAAGCTCGCCTCATATTTGTGATCCTCCTGCCTCAGCCTCCTGAGTCACTGCGACCGCAGACATAAAGCCACCATACCCACTTGGGGGGGGCTTCTTAATCATTCCCAGCAGGGGCCCTCTGCTGATGCTTCTCCACACTCCTCTTGCTCTTAGCAGCTCTTGAGAAGGCAGCCTGATAGGACAAAAGGCTGAGGAACCCGGGAAGGGACCTGGCATCCATGAGGGCAAAACCAGGAAAAGCCCCTATTGGTGAGGAAGAAAAGAGGCAAGAGTTGGGCAGCTACGGACAGCTATGGGCTTCAAAGAATCCACAGGCACACGAAGCCGCTTTTCTATATGCTGTGTCTGTGCATTCTCTCCTGAAGCTGACCACAAAACTTTGGGCTAGAAAAGGTAGTTGACACTGTGCCCATTTTATGGATGGAAAAACAGAGACTCACTATCAAGAACCAGAGACTTGTCCACTGCATTCTCCCCAGTCCCACAGTGGCCCAGCCAACTAGGCAGGTCTGAAGCAAACTCTGCCCCAGACCCCTGAGGACCTGAGTCACCTTCCTGCTCCCAAGGAAGTGAGGGCAGGGAGAGTGCTGAGAAGCTGCAAGATTTACAGGCTTCCAGGGGACAGGAAGGTGGCAGCCTCTCACCAGCCCCACCATTAGCCATACTCCAGAGGTAGAACAAGGACAGACCAGAGATCCCAAGAGCCCAGCTCCCTCTTTCTTGTGAAACCTCCCTTCCAGGCTTGGACCCCTTCAAAACCCACAGCTTTGTGTTCAAGGAGGAACAAAGATACATCAACAAAGCAACAAGGAGCTTTTGGTTTTACCAAAAGAAGAAGAAGAAGAAGAAAAAAAACCAGCCCAACATCCTGCTTCTGGTTAGAGCTGCTGATTCCAAAAACCCCTGCTGGGAACACTGCCCACAGCCGGGCAGGGAGGGCTCTCACTAACCCAGTTTCTCTCCAGCCCCCCAAGCCTAAGTAGCCCAACTGGTGGGGATAGGAAGCAACAAGGAGTCATTGTTTGACCAGTGGGAAAAAATGAGCAGTCAAAAAGATCAAGGGTAGACTAGAAGAAGAACTTACCAGCCCTCCGGGATTACAGACAAAATGAATAAGAAGAAAACAAAGCCTGCACCTGCCACTGTTGGCTAAACTTAAAGAGAAATGATTGAAGTGAAAAAGACATGGAAATGATGGAGCTCAGTTTCTTCATCTGTAAAAATGGGGGTGTTGAAAGCAAAGTGACCCCCAAGCTTCCTTAAGGTCTGATATCAGAGTGCAGGGATTTGGGCATCGAGGTGAGGGAGCTGCCTGAAGGCTGTGTCTGGCCACCTTGGTTGCCCATTTGGACTCACCTTCTCCACCCCAACACACACCACACATGCCCCTCCCACGCCAGTGCTTCCTTTGGCTCCCTGAGACACCTGACCCAATTTTCCCAGCAAGGCAGAGAATTCTGGGGAGGCAGGAAAGCCTCAGGCCCCAGGCCTGGGTTTACCCAACACTGCTCACCCCTTAAAAGCTGCTGGGATTAGAGAGAATTTGCTAGAATTTAAACACTGACCTTGCCCTACTCCTGCCCAAGGCCTGAGGAAAGGGCAGCAGCATAGTCCCTGGTTTCCCAGAATCAGGGACATCTCCACCCGCCCCCAGCTCCTCACAACACAGATAAAACAAACTAAAGGATAAACCCCAGGGGTCTGCAGCCCATGAAGGGACAGGTGCAACTGAGTGCCCCTTGCCCTCCCCAGGCTATGCACAGCCCTTACTGGACACCCCAAATGCTGGTTCTCCAGACCAATAGCCCAGCCTCTGCTCTGCAGGTCCCCAAGGAAGAGGGAACAGGCAGTTTTTCTGCATCCACACCCCCCAGCCTGGTTTCAAAATCATTAGCATGGAGACAAAGAAGCAGGTTTGTATAGAGCCAGGGTATTGGAAAATCCAGTTTGCAAAACAAATAATCAAGGGTATAAATATTTCCCTAACCAAAAGAGCAGACTCGCCCCACCCATCTAGAAGACTCAAAAAAAGGGTTCCATTAACAATTCCTGGGCTACCATGCAAAAGCAGGAGTGTAGCCTCGACCTTGCCACAGAGATACCAGTGTGGCTGCTGCCCAGATGTGAGAAGCAGATGCAGCCTGCTCACTCAGCGCCCAGTGTGTGTGTGTCTGGGGGTGCCCCAAGCACCCAAGTTACCGGGTACCTGGGTAACTGCACATACATGGGAGCCACGGTACCAGGCAGCTGCCCAAGAGCTCTGGCCTGTGTCCATGCCCTTTCCTCTCCCCAAAACCAGCCTAACACAAGGAGGGAAAGAGAAGCAGCCTCTGTGCTGCTTACAGTCACTGTCCAGAACTTCAATCTTGTTTTTTTTTTTTTTTTTAAGAGAGAGAGAGAGAGAGAATTTTAATATTTTTATTTTTTAGTTCTCAGCGGACACAACATCTTTGTTTGTAGGTGGTACGGAGGATCAAACCTCGATCCTCCGTACCACATACCCTAACCCTAACCCTAACTGGATCGAACCCGGGCCGCACGCATGCCAGACCAGCGCGCTACCGCTTGAGCCACATCCCCAGCCTCAATCTTGGTCTTGAGAGTCCTCACAGAAGGACAGACAAATGAGACAGCTCGCTTCTGTCTTGATGCCCTGCCCCCGCCCCCAGATCCTCACTGCCCCGGTGTACAGGGCGGTCAGGGACAGGCCCAATATTGAGACCTCCCTGTCAACCACACTCACACATTTGCCCAGCTACCTGGCAAAATGCCAAGAAACACCACCTGCCCTTTTGGGTCCTACAAGGGCTTAGCCCAGCAGGGCGTGGGGTGCTTCACAGAAGGAAGCTGAGCCAAGCTAAGCACTGAAGGATGGGGCCAAAGGCAGGCAGGCTTAGGGTCCAGCATCCCTGGGTAGGAATTTTAACTATGGAGAAACTGAGGCTCCCGGGTGCAGAGGATGGACTCCCACATAGGGCTTGCTGGCCCAGATGTGACTGAGGCTGAGGAACAGAGGGAGCATCTGAGTTTTGGGCAAGGTGCTACTACAGTTGGAGCAAGCACAGCTGGGTTACACATCTGCCACGCCTCCCCTCTCATCCAGGGTCCTTCCTAGCCAACACTTAACTGTTCCAGGGGTCAAAGGTTAACTGCATGCAAAGCTAGGACTGTAAAGGCTAGAGAGGGGAGGGGAGGGGAACAACCCCTCTTTGGCTGGTTGCCAGGAGAGAGAGAGGAGAACTTCTACCATTTAGGGAGGAAGGCTACATCTTCTGCCTCTCCCAACACCCCCAACCCCTGTAGGAACCCCCAACCCCACTTGCTGCTAGCCTCCCCAGAAGACTGGGAGAAAAGTAAACCAGACCTTTGACACTAAGCTAAGAAAATGCACAGAAAATAAGGTCAAGCCTCTGATTTCTTTCTCCAACTTCCAAAGCTCACTGAGCTTTAAGCTGCTGGAATCTAGGAGAGATGTGAAGCATCGGCACCTGCTACTGAACTTCTGCCCAGGAGTGGAGGCCTCGAAGCTGCCCCGCAAAAAGGCTCTGAGTCCAGCCGGAAGTGGTCCAGCAGCCAGCAGCCAAGGAGTTAAGTGCCCTGGCTTTTCTGAACCCCACCCCACTCCCCAAAGGAGGGAGGAAGTGGCAGAGAATCAGGGCTTGTGTGAGCCCTTAAGAATTTGAAGAATGTCCCATTTCCCTTGGGGCTGGGAGGGGATGGTGGGGGTTAGAGGAACAGAAGTCAGAAGAGAGGGGCAGCTGCAGGAGGAGCCACCAGCATGGAGCTGTGGCCCTTCCTCTGCACCAGGGAAGCTGCCCAAGGCTCCTGCCCTTCAGGGAGAGCTGATGCTTAGATGCCCCTTGGGCTTGACATTTTTTCAGAAATTGGTTTCCCAGCATCTGGCCCAGGTTCTTACCTGACACAGAGAATCAGGTAAGAAAGAAATGTCCAATGAATGTGCAAAACCCCAAAGAGACAGGCAGTGGTATTAGGAGGGGACTGGGAATGTGCTACAAGGGAGACAGTCCCTCCAAGGGGTTTAAGCTCCCAATCAACCCTTTTTAGACAAGTCCCAAATTTCCCTTCCTGGGTGAACTTCAGCTGCAAAGAGCCTCCTGACTGAGAATTTAAAACCAGAAGTCTAAAACGCCCATGTATTTAGACATGTAATGAATTATGTGTGATTTTTTTTTCCTGCTTAAAAAAATTAAAAAACCAAAACTGGACTAAAATGAGATCTTACATTTATAGAATACTGATCTTTCCACCCACTTGCAGGCAATATGACCTTCTGAAGCTCCCATGTGCCATGGACCTGACATTGAGTTTGCACTTGCTACTTAAGAGGTCACCTTGACAATGGAGGGTTGGGGCACTGTGCAGCTGCTTGAGATGGACCAGGCAGTGTTCCTCCCAGGTGAGAGACAACTGCCTCTCAACGTCCACCTCTGCCTCCAACAGGCAAATGAATTACATTCAGAAAAGTAGTGTCCATGGGTCTACCTGGCTAGGCTGGGAAGAGATCTGCCTAGGCCAGGCCACACCCTGCTTCTCGTCCCCACTTCTCAGAAACAAACTCTAGGGCTGGGAGCCAGGGTCAACAGAGTATAAAAGGGACACCAGGGCTGGGGATATAGCTCAGTTGGTAGAGTGCTTGCCTCCAATGCACAAGGCCCTGAGTTCAATCTCCAGCACCATAAAAAAAAAAGGGAGGGGGGACACTGATGAAAGGAGCCCCCAAAAGCCTATTAAGTGCTCAGATGAGAGAAGAAGCCTGTCAATTACTGGGCAGGTCACTTTATCGCTGGATCCCTCGTTTTAAAAATAAAATTTTTATTTATTAATTTACTTACTTGTTAAGAGATAAGAGCTCACTATGTTGTTCAGGTGGCCTCAAACTCCCGGGTTCAAGTAATCTCCTGCCTTATCCACCAAGTGACTGGGAACCCAAGTGCTTGTCACCATGCCCAACTGGATCCCTATCTTGCAGCAGGGTACAATGGGAAAAGCATATTTGTTTTACTGCCCAGAACTGGATACGAACTAACCTCTAAGTAGCCTCTAAGGAACCTCTAAGTAGCACACTGGTCATCCTAGCTATTCAGGAGACTGAGGCAGGAGGATTGCCAAGTTCAAGGTTAGCCTCAACAACTTAGCAAGACCTCGTCTTAAAAATCTAAAAATAAAGGGCTAGGAGTGTAACTCAGTGGTAGAGCCCCCCTGTGTTAAAACCCCAGTACCACCAAAAAATAAAAATAAAAAAAATAAGAGGAAGAACCCTTGCCTCACCATCTGTTGCGAGGAGACAATGTGATCACAATGTATTGTGACAGGTATAAAAGGGCTGGCAATGTCGCCTGGTAGTTGTCAGAAGGGAAGAAAGAACCCAAGGGGGAGTGAAGTGCCCACCCAGTCCCTGCCCCCTGCAGGACTCACGCGTTGCAGTAGGGCTTCTTCTCATAGCCCTTGTAGTTCTTCATGTTCAGTGTCATCTTGCAGGTCTCGCAATGGAAGCATGCTTTATGCCAGAACTGGGGGGAGACAGAGGGAGGACACCCATCAGATACCAGGACTGTGGGCAGGGGGCTTGGAAGGCAGGGATATTCAGGGACTCTCCATCCCAGGGAATGTCCTAAGCCCACAGCTGTGGAGAACTTGGAATCACCCCTGGTGAGCTGGGGGCATCTCAGGTCACAGGTTCTGGTGGCTGATGACACTCCTTCTCCACCCCACCCTCTACCAGGCAGCCACTGGAGTTCTGCAGGAGGGCAAGCCTGAAGGTGAGGGTGGCAACAGCCCCCAGAAGCGTCAGAAGGTCAGTTCTACCTCCCAGACCACTCCTCCTGCTCTAGAGCTAGAAAGGCCTCATTGCTTATGCAAAGTGGCACTTGGGTTGCTAAGCAGCAGCTCTGAACAGGAAGGGGCAGCTCCTCTAGCTTCACAAGGCCTGGAGATAGGCCCACCCCCACCCCCAGGAGCCCATACACACAGGCCCAGGGCCCTGATACTCTTAGCTCCCATACACATGTGCACCCCCCGCCCCCCACAGACACCCTCCCTGTGATGCTCCAGCTCTGGTGTATCCCACTTCTGTGGGTCTCCTCCCCATGAGAAGAGCCCCAGGCTCTAGGGAGTACACCCACACCCTGTCTATCCTCCCTCATCCCTCTCCCACCCCAGCTGGAGAACAGGTAGGGGAGCACTCAGCAGCTAGTCTCCCACTGAAGCACTCAAGTCTTGGAGGTGAACTCCCCAAAGCAGACATCAAAGCTCCACCTGCAAGCTATATGACCTTGGGCAGTGCCCTGCACCTCAGAGTCATTTCTGTGTCTGTAGAATGCATATAAAAACACCTATGCATCCTGGTACTGTTAAGGTTTAATGAGAAATTATCTGCAAAGCCCTTAGCACAGCATTGAGTCCCCTCAGGACCCAATGTTGGATGCTGGGCACAGCAGGGATGAACCTCTTTGGAGGTTTGGGGACGCAGGCAGGCTACTACTGTGCCCAAACACAGCTCCAATGCATGTGTGTGCAAATGAGCGGAAAAAAAACCCAGAGACCTGGAACTCAGCCACCAGGACTAATTCAGGGTGGCTGATGGAGGAGACAGAGTAGAAAGCAATAAAGGAAGTGACCGCATCCCTGAGGAGTGGTGCTATACTGGCAAACCCATGCACCTTAACCCTGGCAGCCCAGGATGTGGCCCCAGGATCAGCACTAACCAGGGCTTCAGCTATTAAGACCCCAGAATCCAGGCTGTCTGGATGACCTGGCTGGCCTGTCCCTGCCCCAATTCCCAGCAGGCAAAGGAGACATTCCTGACCCTCAAAGGAGGAGTCCAGAAGCCAAGGGGGGGCCAGGGGACTTCAAAAGTGCCCTGTGCCCAGCCACAGAGCTGACAGAGCTCCCTGGCTGTCCATCAAGGGATTCCCCTGCAAGGCAAGCTTTTCAAAAGATGCTTTTAAGACACCGGGAGGAGGGGACAGAAGAAAGGAAAGCTGAGAAGCTGGGATTCAATCTCCCCTACCATGGCACACTTTAACCAGAGATAATTTCAGGGGGTAACCACCCTCTAATGGGGTGCTTTCCCTATCAAGAAGATCCAAAGGAAAAGTCTAATGATGGAATATTAAGCAAATGATAGGAGAACCACTCTTTGGGAAGAAGGCCAGTTGCATTCTGGAAGTAAAGGGATGACTGGCCTGAGCCCACCCCCAACCCCAATCTAAGCTTATCTCAGAACCCCTCTCCCAAGCCACCCCCCCTCCACCAATAGCATCTTCCATTCTCTCCAAAGTGCATACCCCAACACACACAGACCTCCAGAAAACTAAAACTGGGTGGTCTCTGCCTCCATAAGCCCCCAAAGTGAGAGCCCCACTGTCTTTCCCAATAACTGCAAGGCATTGGCAGAGTGCCCCAGCACTGTCACCACCCAGTCTGCTGGCCTCTGCCTGCTAGGCAGCACATGCCCCAGCCTGGGCCCCGGCCTCCCCCACCCCCACAGGGGCCTGCCAGGAAAAACATTCTCCAGAATCCAGACCATGACCCACTTTCACACACACATACACGCAGGAATACACACTGTCCTGAGGCTGGGGACCTCCAAGGCTGTCTCCTGAATGACGCAGGGGAGACAAGGGAAAAGAGACAGACACCCCTACTCTAGCAGATGGCGAAGCCCCCACCCTGAAGGCAAGCCCTGTTGGGAAGCAGGAGAGAGTAGAATACCAGGCTGGAGGTACAGGACCAATAACCCCCAATCCAGAGTTCCCCCAAATCCCTCCAGGCCATGATGGGGAGAAAGAGGGCTCCTGTACAAAAGACAGCTCATTCCCACCAGCAGTCCTGCCCACCCCATGCCCCTACTCCCACAAAAGACCTCTTGCTCTCCGCTAGATAATCAGAGGCTGGGGCAGGGGAGGGCCATCACCTGTCCCCTTATAGAGGGCTTAGAAGCCATAATGGAAACCAGAATGGACTGCATACCTGCAGGACAGTTACTGAGCTCTGTCCCCATATCTGCAAAGTGGAGCTGAAAATATTCTCTCTGAGGCACCATGGCAGGGAATGAGGTTTGCCAGGGTCCACTTCACGGGATGCCCAGTACCCTCGCTGCTGCATGTCACTCCCCTCCCTCTTCTTGGAAGAGGGCCATAAGATTCAAGAAAATCCAGCAGCTCCTGCCACTGTGTCCTCTTTGGAGAGCAGAAAATGGCCAGACACTCAACAACCCCTGGGAGCCAGGCCTGGGCTGAGCACGAAGATCCAAAGAGGAAAGAAACCCCATCCTGTCTCAATGGGGTCAGTGGCCCTATCTGCCCCCTGACTCTGCCCCAGGAGCCCTGTCCCAAAACAAGATCCCCTTGCTGGCTAAGACTTCAGGGAAGCAATCCTGGAACTCGGAGGAGCAAAGTTCACCTCAAGGCAGCTACTCTCATGCAGCCGACTGTGGCAAAGTCCACGGTGTCCCTGTTCACAGAAACCAGGCAGCCCCTGACCAAACCTCTGGCGCCAAGAAGCCACTCTGCCAGATCCCAGGCCACAGAGGAAGGTCACCTCAGCTCTCCCTTTCCCACCTGCAACCTCCTCTACAGAAACCCACTCTACAGAAAGGCAAACAGAGACTGGTGGACACAGAAGCCCTGCAAGGATCCCTCTCAGTTGGGCTACCTGGGCCAGCCCAGTCCTTCCAAGGCTCTGGAAGTGGGTGTGGAGAGCTCCAGGTCACTGCGCCTACACCTGGCACCTTGCCTTTTGAACTCCAGGCTGCCTGGGGTGGAATGACTCAGGGTTGGAGTATGAGATCTTCTCCTCCTTTCCTGTTGCCCAGAGTTATAGTTTTTCCTCTCCACCAGGGGCAGCATCAGCTCTACCCTGTCCAGGTTACCAACCCAGGCTAATGGCTTAAAGGTGTGGATCTTTCCTGAATCTCCACCAATATTATTATTATTATTCCTTATACCCCAGTTGCCCCACCCCCATCCCACAAGATCCCAGATCTGTAAGTGGAAGTGGGGGATTAGGGAGGGCTATGACCCATCTTTGGCACTAATAAGAGTGCGTAAATAAAAAATACTTTTTGCATGGGCTGGGGTTGTGGCTAGGTGGTAGAATGCTTGCCTAGCATGTGTGAGGCACTGGGTTCAATTCTCAGTTCCACAGATAAATAAGCGAATAAAATAAAGGTCCATCAACATCTTTAAAAAAAATTTTTTTAAATAAATAATTTTTGCAAATACACCAGCAGAAAGAACTTTGGATGTGAATTCCAACTTTGGCTAAAAGCAAAGGGGCAAGCCACATCAACTATCTGAGCCTCTGTTTATAGATTCATTATTCCCGGGAACAATCACTGATGTTTGGTGAGGCAGCTACATATTCTGAGCCCAGAACACTACAGTAAGCAGGAGCTATTATAAATGAATGATTGCAAGGTGATCATGGGGTAACTAAGCTTTGGCTAGGAAACTGAAACAAGGACTTTTGCCTCTTCGAGGGTGGAGGGAGAGCTCTGATAACCAGCGGCAGGGAGCCCACCCTAAAGGGGGATTCCAGAGGAAGTGGCAGCAGATCAATTCTCTAACCTTCCTGAATGTCTCCACCTGTTTTCAGAAGCCAGGGGAAGCAAGCCAGTCTTCGGAGAGGGACATAGCAAGATACTTGACAATACAGACACCCAGATATAAAGTAGGTATACAAAGTAGGTGTTCAATAAATATTTGTTGAATGAATGAGCAAATGAGGTCACCCTATTTCTCCCCCAGTTCTAATCCCAGAAATCCTCTGGGGAAACAAATCCCGACCTCCTTCCTCAAACACTGTCATCAGCAATACATGTTTATCCAGCATTCAGAGCACCCTGGGTAATGCAGGTTGGGGGCAGGGTGGCCTTCAGAGGTGACAAAGCCCTTACCCACCTATGCCTTTGGCAGATAAGGCTCAAGGAGAAAAGACTTAACACCAAGGACACAGCTTGTGTTTTAGCCATTTGGTGTGCTACATGTCACCAGAGACTGTAGTGAACCAGGCCAATCTAAGTTGACTGACCATTATTGGGAAAGGGAAGCGTTGGGTAGTTGGTTAGTAACAATGCCTGTGGGACTGAACATTTCTCACTCCCAAGTTTCAGCAGCATTCTCCAGGTGCCTGAAGGAAGCTGGTTCTCCAGGTACCTTTTCTTACTGGAGGGGGTAGGGAAGAATAAGTCTGAATATTTCAGGCCTCTGACTCAGTGCAGGAGGAAAGGAGGACAAGGTCTTTCCAGAGCTACTTCCTTTAGGGACAGTTCTCAAAACAGGGAGGAATCACCCCATCCTAATTTCCACAGCAACCCCCTCCAGAACATCCTCTTCCAGCTGGGACTCAAGAACTACTAGGGAGGGTCCCTTGCAGTATCCCTGCCTCCTCCCCTGACACACAGCACTAAAGGACTTTTTATATTTCTGGTACTGGGGATTGAGCTCAGGAGTACTCTAACACTGAGAAATATCCCCAATCATTTTTATTTTTTATTTCGAGGCAGGGTCTTTCTAAGATGTCCAAACTGACCTTGAACTTGCAATCTCCTGCCTTAGTCTCCTGAGTAGTTGGGATTATAGGCATGTGTCACTGCAAGGGGCACTGATGGTCTTTATAAGGCAAGTGAGTGTAGGGCTAGACAGAAAAGGTAGGGAGGGGACTGTTATGGTGGCCAGCACTTGTAATCAGCCTATAATCCTAGCTATTTGCAAGGCTGAGACAGGAGGATCACAAATTCAAGGCCAGCCTTAGCAACTTAAGGAAACCCTGTCTCAAAATACAAAATAAAGGGGTTGGGGTTGTGGCTCAGTGGTAGAGCACTTGCCTTAGCATGTGTGAGGCCCTGGGTTAGATTCTCAGCACCACATATAAATAAATAAAGGTCCACCAACAACTAATAAAGTATTTTTTAAAAAATACAAAATAAAAAGGGCTGAGGATGTAGCTTCTACTTACTGCAGTGTTCTGGGATCACTGGCAAAGCATCCCTATGTTCAATTCCAGTATCATGTGGGGGGAAAACGCTCCTTCCAGAAACTAGTGAACTGCCCACCTCCAAGGTTACAACATAGTCATACTCACACACCCTATAAATGGGGAATACTGAGGCCCTGAGCCATTCATTAAGCTGGTGGGAGCAGACCTAGAACCAGGACCAAGTCTTCCAACTCCCAGGCTAGCAATCCTTTCATCCTATATTGCCTCTGAAGGTGAGCACTGTCTCCTCCCAATTCATCACTGTGGACAGGAAGAGGAGTCCAGAAAACTGCAGATGCAGGGGCCAAAATCCCTGCCATCAGGGAGGTCAAAATCCATGTGCAAGGTCAGATAAGTTGTCAAGGGAATGTTTCCTCATCTAGAAGCTCCAGGCTCATGTCCTGCCCTCCAGAGACTGACCCAATCATCCAGCAGATCAGCACCTTCTCTCTTGCCCACAATATCCTCTCCTCCTGCCAGTCAAGCACTGAAGGGGTAAGGAAACAGCAGCAGTCCTCTAAGTCCCTTCCCTACAAGAGCAAGTTCAAATGTGTTTCAGAATCTCTAACCCCACCGCTTCCTCCTGACTCAGGGGCCAAAGGTCACTGAGGAATGGCAACCCCAAGGGGGCAGGGAGAGACAAACTATCCAATGAACTAACCTGTCCCAAACAAAACCTGCACCTTTCTTGTATGTAGTTCCCCCCACCCCACTCCTGAAGGTTAGGATAGAAAAGAGGAACTATTTAGACTTGGAGCCACCTTGGGATGGTGGAGGAGGGGACTGAGGCCTTTCTTCCAGACCACGGAGGGGACTCAAGGAAGAGCAGGCTTACCTTAGGATCTTAAGAGCTTAACAAGAGGGCAGGATCCTACCCCAAACTGTGCTGGAAACACCCAGTTCTGCTCTCCACCCCCCTCTAAAAGTATAATGGCAACCAGATGAACGAGTCCAGCTTGGGCGGGGGGTGGGGGGGGAGGGGGACGCCTAAGGGCCCCAGGGACGGCGAATTTCCAGAAGGCCACCCTCCCCTCCCCCCCAAACACCTCCCCCTTTTCTCGGCTTCCCCAGAACTCAACCAACCCCACCCTCCATTGGAGAAACCTGCTTTGAAAAGTTAGCTCTTTGTTCTACAAGCCGATCTTCAGACAGAGCACAATTTCAAGAGATCTCTGCGAAGAGTCCCCCACCCACCCAACCCTAGCACCCGACCCCGCCCGGTTCGGGCTGCACTGCCCAGCATCAGGAGTTGGCTTGTAATTCGAGGTGGGGGCTGGGAAGATGTGAAGGAGGACTGACTGGTCCTTTAACCACAGAACCACCAAGGGGGGGGGGGGGGGGGGCTCCAGGTCGTTCCAAAAAGGGGTTCTCGAGGCAGGGCTCGGGTCCTCACCCGAAGCCCCCTTCCCAGAGGCGACCTTCGCCAGGCGATCGTCCGCGCTGGGGGCCTCCAGGCCAGGAAGCCGGGCCGGGGGTGGCCAGAGCAGCAGGTTTCGCCGGCCCCCGGCCGCCGCCCCGCCCCCGCCGCCCCCTCCCCCCAGTGCCCCGCGCTTCCGCGTACTTGGCGCTCGGCGCGGCGGGGAGAGGGAGCGGCCGTCTGCTCTCACTCTCCTGGCCCTGGGGGGCGGGACTGCACCTCTAACCTTCCCCGCACACACACACCCCGGGCCTGGCTTCCTTGTGTTGTCCCAGCCCCTGGTCACAGAGACCACCCTTCTCCAGCAGTGGCTGCCCGCCTCGTCGTGGATCTCCCAGCTCCCAGACCCCAAGGGGTCCGTCCCCACACCCAATGACACCGCCCACCCTCCTTCCCTTCCCCAGGGATCGCGGGGATGAGGCGGCAAGACCCAGCCCCTCTCTCCTCCCCCTCCTCCGAGCTCGGGGTTGCCTAGACGCGTCTCCGAGTCCCGGAACTCACCTTATCCAGACAGTTCACCTTCTCCGTGGGGTACACGATCTTGCCGCACCGGGCACAGTTGGGGTTCATGGCTCCGGAAAAGACTGGGGCGGGGATGCCCGAGCTCAAGCACGTTCTCTCCCCCGGCGGGCTGGCGGGAGGCGGCAGCGGCTGCACTATACTGGCGGCGGCGACGGCGGCTGGAGCTGGGGAACTGGCCTCCGCCTCCGCCCTCCTTCCCCTAATAAACACAGCGGGGAGGAGGGGCTGCACCGGGGCGGGGACGCGCCTCGGGCGCGGACAGGGGCGCGCGCGACGAGGCGCGCTCCCCGGGCGACGTGGGGCTGCGCGGGGGCGGGTTCCGGGGCGGGCTGTGGGACCCGGGTGCTAGAGCCCCAGCTCTCCCAGGCAGACGGTGCGCTTTGCCCAGGGCCTTTCCCGCGCTGGAGGCGGTGTCGAGCCGAGCTGGCAGCAAATCTGGAGTGCCCAGGCTCCGAGGGACTGGCGAACCCCTTTCACCCGTCGAGGGCGGGGTTGGAACACTCCTGAACGCCCAAGCAGATTCTCCAGATTCAGGGACTTTCCTTCCTACCAGTGGGTGAACCTGCAGCCTGAACCGGAACCCCGCTTCCCCGCCCCCGCAGTTAGCTCCCTTCCCGCCCACGTCCTTTCCCACGTTTGTGGGGCGGAACCTGTCCTTTGCCACTAGACTCAGAGCCTCGGGATCGAGGCTAAATCTTCGTCTCCGCGCTTCTGCGGTGCAGCTTTCCCCGGGGTTCCTCGGATTCAGGCACCTTCTGCTTTCAACTTGGTCCCTTTCCTCCTTAATCCGTTTCTCCTTATTCTTAGTTCGTACCTGCCTAGCAGCTGCAACACTGTTTTAGCACCCAAAAGAGCCACCTCCAACCGCAGGAGCGGCACGGGGGTATAGCTCAGTGGTAGAGCATTTGACTGCAGATCAAGAGGTCCCTGGTTCAAATCCGGGTGCCCCCTTGGTGTCTTTTTCTCCTCTATGTAATGAGCATAATTCCTTTTTTCATTCTCAATTCACATTTTTACGTTGTATCCTAGGTTATAAGAAAACAAAAACAGGGGCGGGGTGAGTCCCTTCCTCGTTTTCCAACCTTAGCCGAAAGCTTTCTGTTTTGCTTTGTGTCCACCGGAAGGTGGTGGTGTGGGTTGAGTGCACTATCAGATACAAAAGATGCACGTCCCCATACTGGCGCCAGAGGTGGGATTTCTGCTGCCACCACCACAGGTGTATCAGGCACTTCAGGACGCTGGGTTCGGGGTACAGGATGACTACCCCAGGTTGTCGTTCGTATCCGATGGGGGCAGGGGTGGGTCAAAGAGGGAAATCCACAGGCACAGCCCTTTCCAACTTCAACTTTTTCCTTTTTTCTTCTTTATTTTATATTATTATTTTTATTGTTGTTTGTTTTGTTCGACTTCATTACCATTGGACATGGACATGTTGTGTTCACCCTTCCCTATTGCTCATGACAGAGAGAGACTGAAGACATTTCAGGAACAGTAAAATGACCAATACATGCCTATCCGTTTACTTTAATGTACGAAAATTAAGTTACCCCGTTGCAAACCATAGAAATGAATGCACGCAGCAAAATTATCCTGAGGGCTTGTTTCTGATTCTTAGAGCTGGAATGGGACCCAGAGAATTAGCTTTTCCAGTAATTTCCCAGGTGATGCTGGTGATACTGGTTCCCCGAACACACTTTGAGGAACAGTGGACTCATACTACCGGTTATCTAGTTTCAAATTCTAAAGATGTGAACAGATATCTGCTGGCTGTGTGACCATGTCATTGTGTGGTTGGAGAAAAGTGATAAGTTTGAGGGAGAATCAAGGGCATCCCTTCCACTAGGTTTTGCCCCAAAAAAGGAAAAAATAAGGGAGACAAGCAGAGGCATGTTGCTTGAGTCAGGGGGAAACTGTGATATTTTAAATCCGGAATCTGATTGTGTCATCCCTAGGGACCTAGGGAAATACTTGGGCACATTTTTCCCCCAGTTCCCATTACAACGAGCTGCTGGGCTGGACACGGAGATAAGTAAGAGCCATGGTGCAAAACCCAGGCTGCAGAAATAGCTAACCAGCATTTCTCCCCTTTCCCAGACACCAACCCCTGAACATGGCACCTGTAGATTATCAAGCCAAGGCCCTGCCTTTGTGCTAATATAAAGAAGGGAAGTTACTCACTTTCAACCTGTCATCTCTGTACTATGACCCCTTAAACTTGGCCAGAATATAAGCTTTCTGAACCTGGATTCATCCTTAGTCTTTTCAACCAGGGTATGAACTAGGCAAAATAATACTGCTCTGACCCTAACATGCCTTTTTTTTATTTTTTAAAACCCCAAATCAAATTATAATTAACAATAATCAGTGGGTTAGTGAACAATTTCTAAGATGATAATAACTCATTGCCTTGCCTCTACCTATTGAGGGTGCAGGTGGGATTTTTATCACATAGTCAGGGTCGAAGACTCAAACCTACTAAAGCCACCTCTGTGTTGCTGCTAGTTCTTGGACACCAGGAACCAGGGGGGAAAATTATGCTAGTGGAAGAATCAAAGGACATTTTTCAGAAGTTTTGAATCCAGAAATCCCCTAGTGACTGGTTATCTGAGTCACCTGTGAAAAATAGTAAAGTACTAGCAAGGGGGCACCCGGATTTGAACCGGGGACCTCTTGATCTGCAGTCAAATGCTCTACCACTGAGCTATACCCCCTCTGCTGGTAAGTGCCTCTGAATTCTTTTTACTTGGACTATCAAGTTTTCATGCTGAAAGTCACTTATCTATCCAAAATTAAGACATTTTTGCTAAATGACATTGAATTTACCAATGAGAGAGGCATAAATGAAAAAAAAAAACATGTAAACGTAGTTTTTTTTCTGGGCTCAGTTCTTTGTTCATAACACCACTCATTTCTTTCCCCTCACAAGTCAGAGAATAACCTCTTGCAAAACTGGAGAGGGAAACTTTTCCCATGGTCTCTCTAAAAGGAATACAAATAATAACTAAAAAGACACCTCCACTGAGGCCTTCTGGGTGTACAAGCTGTTGGTTCCCCACTTTTTTTTTTATTTTTTTTTTTTATGGAGCACTCACTGTGCAGAACAAACTTTCAACAGAAAGATACGGAGTTTCTAACTCACTGAGTTTACAATCTACTGGGGACAGACTGGAAATAAACACAAGTGAATAAACAAGGAAATAGAGCAGTGATAAAGGAAATTATTGAAATAAAGATCAAAATGTAATTAAGAAGGTACTGGGGTTATTTCAAGTTGGACAGCCATGGAAGGCTTTTTTCTCCCCTTTTCTTGAGGAGTGAACCCAGTGCCTTAGGCACACATGCTAGGGAAGGACTTTTACCAATAAACTACCTTCCTAGCTCCATGGAATCCCCCCCCCTTTTTTAAAATATATATATTTTTAGTTATACATGAATGCAATATCTTTATTTTGTTTATTTATTTTTAGATGGTGCTGAGGATCAAAACTAGTGCCTCACACATGTGAGCACTCTACCACTGAGCCACAACCCCAGCCCCACAGAAGGCCTTTTTGAGCAGATAAATTGGCAGTTCAAACCTGAATAACATGTAGAAAGCAGCCATTTGGCAATCTATGGGGGAAAGGTACTGAAGGTGAAGGAAATGGCTACTACAACATCCCTGAGACTTGAGGAAGTTGGACCACGGTAGAGCAATTTGAGAGAGCTCGAAAAATAGCCAGGGGTGAGTGACCCAGGTTTGTAATTCCAGCAACTCAGAAGACTGAGGCAAGAGGATCACAAGATCCTGGGCCAGCCCCAGAAATTTAGCAAGATCCTGTCTCAAAATAAGCACATCACGGAGGAACTGAGTGGTAGAGCAAATCTGATCACCTCACGGCGAGAAGCACAAGAGAGAGGAACAAGCTCGGGTCTCACTATCCCCCTTATGGGCACATCCCCAGTGACCCAAAGACATCCCAGTAGGTCTCACTACCTCTCAATAGTTCCACTCTGGGAAGAAACTGTTAACATATGGGCCTTTGGGGGGACTTTTAAGATCCATATTATAGCAATATCAATTATTTGAAAGCTAATTTTTAAATGTTGTCTTTTTCTGTTTTCACTGTTGGAGATCAACCAAACCTCTTGTTTCAGGTTCATGTGACTGTGAGGTTAAGAAAACATTGCAGAGTAGACTGACAGGATGGAGACCCAGGGAAGAGCTGCTGGGGATATACCTCTGTAATAAAGCATCCCTGGGTTCAATTCCTAGTACCAACAACAACAAAGAGAGAGAGAGAGAGAGACAGAGACAGAAACACCAAGTTTTTGTGGGCCTTGTTGGTCAATTAAGTTTGGATTTTATATGAAATGACAGTGTAGCTCAGTGGTGGAATGCTTGCTTAGCATGCACTGGAGACCCTGGATTCACTCCTTAGCATTGGGAGGAAAAAAAAGAGTAGATCTCATGTTAGGTGTTCTTACCACATTAAAAAAGAGATAGTGGGTAGACATTGAGAGACCAGTTAGGAATCTATTGCAATGATGTAGGTGAAAGATGGTGACAAGGTCTTAGACTTTGGTGTATGAGTTTCCTGTTGTTGCTGTAACAAATCACCACGATTTATTTGCTTAGCACAGCACAGATTTATTATCTTACAGTTCTGGAGGTCAAAATTTAAAAAATTAGGGTTGGGGATATAGTTCAGTGGTAGAGCATGTGGCTAGTATGCACAAGTCCCTGGCTTTGATTCCCACTACCACCAAAAATAAATAAATTCCAAAATCAATTTCACTGGGCTAAAAATCAGAACGTTATCATGTCTCCATTACTTCTGGAAGCTCTAAGTCCCTTGACACTTCCAGCTTCTAGAGGCTGCTACATTTGTTGGTTCATAGCCCATTCCTCAATGGCATCAACCAGCAGCATGGCATCCTCTCCCCCTGTGCCATCCTTACACCTCTCTGACTGACCTTTTTGCTTCCTCCTTATAAGGACCACTGTAATTACTTTGAGCTCACCTGGATAATCCAGGGTAATCTCCTCATCTCAAGATCTTTGATTTAATCACATCTGCAAGTCACACATTCACAAGTGGGTTCACAAGGTACTTGAGATAGGGACATATTTGGAGGGCTGTTATTTATTCTACCATAATTTGGAACAGCAGAGGTGGAAAAATATACAGGCATGCAGATTGCTCCTGGCAAGGCAGCCTTA